TGCTTGGCCTGCTGTGTTCATCCAGCTCTGCACCTTGTTATCTCAGAGTACAAAAATAGTTTGTTTATGAAAGTGGGTACAAGCTATGACAAACTGAAGATTTGATAGCTATAATGTTAATCTACCAGAGCAAGAATGATGGAACAGAATTTCAACTGGAGTAAAAAGTTATTCCGGGGGCAAGGAAGATCAGACAAAATCAGACTGGCAGCACTACGACTTAGATGGCATTAAACAGACTTTTGATATATGAAGTGTTGAATGGAACAAGCAGAGAAAGAAATGAAATATTGAATTGTTCAGGATCCTTACAAACATACAACAAGGATGAGAATAGCCCACTTGGTCCTTTGAGCCTGCTCCGCCATTCACAATAAGATCATAGCTGATTTGATTTTAGACTGAACTCTTCATTCTTTCATGCCCCCAATAAACTTTCATCCTCTTGGCAATCAAGAATCTATGCTCCTCTGCCTTAAACATATTTGAAGACTCTAAAAATGGAGTAATCAGAGAATCTGAATGAAAATATCACAGACTGCTGAGAAACAAAATAGTGTCAACTTATCAGCATTTTCTATTCTCTGTGCCTATAGGTGCGATGCCAGAGGACCACTAATTTTACCATCATGTAAAAATGGAACAAGGGGTATACAAAGTAATTATAGACAAATCAGTCTAATCCTGATGGTGGACAAATTATTGGGAAAAGTTTCTGACAGAATACATCAGCAGTTGGAAATTGAGGACAGTCAATCTAGATTTGTTAAGGGAAGGTCATATCTGACTAAATTAACCTTTCGAAGAGGTAACAAGAGGAGTTAATTCTGGTAGGACATTTGATTAATCTAGGTGAATTGTAGCAAGACTTTTAACAAGAACTCACACAGTAGACTGATCAGAAAATTAACAACTCATGAATTTGCAATTGCGAGTTGCCACTAATTATTCATTTTTGAGCCTTCAAGGAAGGTCTTAGAAGTTAAGTTTTTTTTTAAAAGGCAGAAGGATACTCTTGAAAATTTCTGAAAATAGGTATTCTTTTCATTTACTAAGAAACTGATTGCCTACACTAATACAAAACTTGCAAAAGGGTCCTTCACAATTTTTTGAAGTCATGTTCAGTTATTTAAAATTGACTATCTAGACACTGGGTTAAGAATGCTGATCTTGTGATAAATAAAAATTGCATTCTATCATACAGTCAGATCACACTGGTTCACAGCACATTTATATTCAGAAAATTTCGGAACATTCTGGGCGATTTTGAGCATACTTTGTGCCTGGATTGGCAAATTGCACGCAAAGTGAAAATTCCCGGACAACCTATTTAGTGATTCATCTTTTCAATCTATACCCACATTAACTCCTTTCTGAACTACTGAAATGGCATATTTGGCTTTCTTTAAAAGTGTCAAAACATATTTGAATGTATTAAAAATACACAGCGAAGACTAGACACGATCATGTCAAAGGTTCTTATTGTTAGTGCCAATAAAATTGATTGAATGGATTTTAGAAATGACCATAAGTTACTCAAGTCATAGGCAATCTTGTGTAAGAGTTAACCCCCAACATTTGGCTCCAAAAATCCTCAATTTCTCATACACTGTGCTAATTTGGGAGCAGTGTTGGTGGGAACAAACTGTTGAGTTTTATCTTCCCCAATTGCTTTTTTTTTCCTCACTCAAATGACAAAATCAATAGATAGCTGGGGAGAGCCTTTCCTTACGTTCAGAACTGCCGTCAGAAAGCAGTGGCAGTATTGGCAGTTCCAAGGACCAGGCATAAAGTTCAAAGCCTCTAAATTGTTGATTGGTTAAAAGTTGATACCCTACATTTTACCTAAAATTTGACCTCAAATATTCAGTCTCAAAAATATAACTTTTACATGAGAATGTGTGGTAGAAACACAGACTAAATTTTTCAAAATTTTACATATTTCAAGAAATATAAATGTGGAACAATGCAACATTTTGACACTTAGTGTTTGAGAGACAGTATACTTTCTGTAGCATAATGTACTTACCACACCATAGGAGAAGGTGTCACATGTTTCAGCCACTGGTAGGCTCTGTATAACTTCTGGTGCCATCCATGGAAAGGTTCCCACCAAGCTCATGTGTGTTGTATGGGAGTGAAACCGAGAGGCACCAAAATCACAAATCTAGGGTAATGCAAAATACAAACATGTAAAATAAAAATCATGTTTTCAACCTCAATACTATGAAAAAACTCAGAACTCTTATAACTCACCTTTAGCACTCTGTCTGCCGCAATCACCACTGGATTTAACATTAAAATAAGAGAGAGGTCAGAAGTTATTTCAGCTGGGAAGTTTATATGTCCAGAATAGAATCAAAACAGAAAAAATAGGTTTTAGTTAATTGATCTAATGGTCTTTGAGACATCAGTTCAGAGGGATAAAACACTATTTTTGATCACCAAAATCACAACAATAAAAATTCAATTTGTAGAAAATTATTGATGTTATAGAATTTATTGTAACGTGTATCCAAGACAGATGAAGAGAAGTGGAAACAGCTTTCAGTTTGTAAATAGGAATTGTAGCATTGTCCAAAAAATGTTGTGATCACTTGTGATACACTTATGCTGCTTACCACCTGAACGCATTGGCTTGAGACTACAGAGGAATATAGATAGTATAAATAAGTGGGTAAAAATTTGGCAGATGAAGTATAACATGAGAAAATAGAAACTTGCCCACTTTAGCAGGAAGAATAGAAAACCAGGACATCAGTTAAATAGAGAGAGATTGGAGAACTCTATAATGCAGAGGGATTAGAGCGTCCTGGAATGTGAATCACAAACAGTTGGTATGCAGGGGGCACAGCAAATTATTAGGAAGGCAAATGGAACATTGATATATACTATAGGGGGTATTGAGTATAAGAGTAGGGAAGTGCTGCTACAATTGCACAAGTCTTTAGTGAGATTGTATTAGGAATACAGTGTACATTTTTGATTCCCTAACTCAAGAAAGGACAAAGTCAATAAATGTGGAGCCGGTAAAGTACAGCCGGTCAGACAGCATCCAAGGAGCAGGAAAGTCAATGTTTTGGGCCAAACCCCTTCGTCAAGACTAGGGACGGGGAGGGGAGCCCAGAAATAAATAGAGGGAGGGAGGTGGGCCTGTGGGGACAATAGGTGAGATGGACATAGATGGATGCACATAGGGGTTATTGTGGTTGGTCAGTGGGAAGGGTGGAGCAGATAGGTGAGCAGGAAGATGGACAGGTTGGGGGAGGAGAGATTTTGAAGCAGGTGAAGTCAATATTCAGGCTGTTGGGCTGCAAGCTCCGAAGGCAAAATAGAAGGTGAGGTTTTATTAGAACAGTTTCTGGAGGCCCTGCAGATGACAGTTGTCATGGTTGGGTCCAAATTGTGATGGTCTGAACGTTATTTGGAGTCCATGGGGGATAAGCCGGCAGCATTGACAGGCACCGAGAAAGGAGATATGGCTGTAGTAGTGGGATTGCTTTAGAATGTGGTCTAAGAGCTTCAGGGCAGAGGAGATAACCAGGGGGCTGCAGTGGGACAGAGACACTGAGTTCTCTTCGGAGGGAGGAGGAAAACTTCAAGGCAGGCACAGTAAGGACTGCAGATTCTAGAAGCTAGAGTCAATAAATGTGAAGCTGGAAAAGCACAGCCAGTCAGACAGCACCCTTCCCACTGACCAACCACAATAATCCCTTACCTGCATTCACCTATCTCCATCTCACCTACCCTCCCCCGAGCCTCACTGCCCTCCCTCTATTTATTTCTTGGCTCCCCTCCCTTCCCAGTCTTGACAAAGGGTTTTGGCGAAGACATTGACTTTCCTGCTCTCGGATGCTGTCTGACTGGCTGTGCTTTTGCAGCTCCACATTTATTGATTCTAGCTTCCAGCATCAGCAGTCCTTACTGTCTCCAAATCAAGAAAGGATATAATTGTATTAGAAGTGGTTCAGTGAATATTCATATGACTGATTCCTGGGCTGCAAGAGGTACGTTATGAGGACAGGTCAGGGCTGTACCCATAGCAGTTTTGAAGAATGACAGGCAATCTTATTGAAACACACAAGATCCTCAGGGGACTTAACGTGGGTGGGTACTGAGGATACTTACCAGGAGAGACTAGAAACGGGGGATACATTTTAAAAACAAGGGGCCTCCCATTTAAAATGGAAGAGGAGTTGAGGAGATACACTCTTCCTTCACTGGATTCTTAATTGGAGGAATTGCAGTACATTTCCCCCCAGAGGGAAGTGGGACATGGTAAATGAATATTTTTAAGGCTGCATTAGATAGACTATTGATTAAACAACAAAGTAGAGTTGAGGTCACAATCAGATCAAACAAGATCTTAAAAAATGGGGGAGCAGGCCTGAAGAACTAAACATCCAATTCAAGCCCCAACTCTTGTGTATCATTGATGAGAAATACAGCTTAGCGGACCGAGCTTACAAAACCTGTTCTTGAAACTGAGATCTACCATAAAAATATTAGAAACTACTTCATAGTGTGCGCAATAGGATGGAGCTTTGAAATATATGCCTTCTTTCCTTTTATTTGACAAATCAAATATTTTTTGAACTTTCTTATAACTGAGTGTGTAATTCACTTTAAAGAATACTCCAGGGCAAGGGTCTCCAATGACTTTATCCTTCAATGTGAATTCAAAATACGTCAAAATTGCTTTAAAAGCTTAATTACAAGTTTACAATTTTAAATTTTCAAAGGTGGGTATGGAATTTACAAGGTTGGGCGACAGGGCAAAACGTTTCCATTTCCCGTACTTTCCCTGAAAAGCAACACATCGGGGTCCCATAGACACTTCTGGAAGCATGGTTATTTTAGTATTGTTTTTGTTGTTTAAAAAGACTATAATTTGCAAATCTTTTTCTTCAAAGACATGCTTTAGTTAAAGCTACAGAAAGGATTTCAACTTTTTAAGTTTAGTACATCAATAGCTTACCATTTCGAGACTTGAGATCCCTGTGAATTACCTTTACTGGAGCATCCATATGTAAGTAATGCATACCTGTAAAGGAAAATGAGATGAATATTCAGAATAAGTCACAATAAAATGGAGTTATCCAAGTCTTCAAAATCTAAAGTCAAGTTACAGCACAGAAGGGCAAGGAGACAAAAACAGCAGTTGTTGAAATTTAACAGTTTACCCGTAAGGGCAAGCTGACTGAGGAAGAGAGGAGATCAATAAAGTATCAAGGGATGAAAAGACAAATGCTAAATATTGTTCATCAGGTGTGAGTCATTCTTTTTGGTTTAAAAATAAGAAATATCCTGCCACACTCTTAACAAATACAACACCAGTACAGCTCCAAATGCTCAAATCACAGTGATTTTAATCACTCTAGCCATTTTCAAGTGACATAATGTTTCTAGGTTTGACTTTGAATCCAACTAGGATAATCAGAGAAAGCAACTCTTCTAAGTTTAGGAAGCAAAATCCAGCCATTCAAAGACCTGACACTGCATTCAATCAACAGGATTCAAAAATGGTTCTAATGGGTAAATGCTATCCACATATTTTCGACTGGTGCATGTACAGTTGGGATCAGCTGATGAGATGAAGATGGGTGTGAGAGACTGTTTGCTAACAGAAATCTAAGTAAGTGACAGATGAATTAGTACATTGGAAATGAAGGGCCCTGATGATGGGCAGGTTGTAGGGTCTGAAGTTCAATTTAGAGTCAAACAGACCAACTGAAGCCAGAGAATGCGTATTGTTATGTTCAATATGATTGAGATGAATGACATGGAGAGGGTTAGAACTGGGTTGGAGGGTTGAAGTCCATTTCTGGCAAGTAAAGAAGGAAATCACTGAAAGGGCAGTACCATGAAAGAAAGGCAGTGGAGAGAATACAGTTATCAATCACATAGAAAACTGAAGGGACAAAGTATCGTGATTACCGTCAAAAAGAGCATTGTTGGCACAAATGGTTTTGATACCACCTGCATACAGTTTTCAACAGAACTTTTAGACAGTTATCAGAGTTGAAACTCCAGCATAACATGGTCTTCCCCTAGCTCAGGATGAGATCAGTTGAGAGTTAACTAATCTCAGTGATTAGCTCAAATACTAAACTGAGCTCAGGGTCAAACCTAAGATTTTCCTGACCTACACTGTATTATGCAACGTATTTATTCAAAGCTTCTAGAACAGCACATCACGTCCCAGCTAAGGCATACTGGGAAAGTTCATGGAAAGACAATAAGCAAAACCTCACAGCATTTAAATAATCACTACATTATTTGGAGCTAACCCTTTAGGGTATGAAAACGCACAGAAAAAGTGGTTAATATAGAAGCTCAAGATAGAATTTGATCAAGAAAAAAGGGGTTTATAGCGCTACCTAAAACAATAGTAGCCTGAAAATTGGGAGGATTTTAGAATTCAAAGAAAAATCCAGTGAGATTGAGAGAGAAGGAAAAGAATTGGATTAATCAAGAAAGAGACACCTCCGAAGCTGCTTGGCCTGCTGTGTTCCTCCAGCTCACACTGTGTTATCTTAGGCTGCATTTCCCCATTTGTGGACAAAGTGTTTTCTCAAGTGAGATTCACACAAGCCCGCCACACTAACTCTGCCAGCGGATATAATTCTCACCAACACTCATGATCCGCAACTATCATTACTGCATACATCATAAGCAAACTCCCACTCACTTATCCTCCCAAACTACTGATCATTCCTTCCATCTGTGCTACCTGTTCACCGACTGGGAACACCTCATCATTTCACTTCTCACATCACTGCTAAATGCTATTCCATCCACTGTCATCATAGTCAGGCTCTTTATTGTCTCATTGCAGGAATAATCATCCTCGTTCCCTGATTGATGTCTCCCCAGCATCCCGACAGACAGATCTGTAATTCCGAGGCTTGCTGCATCTGTCCAACAGGACTGACAACCCCTGTTCTGGAAAGAGGCTCGACTGACTGTGGCATATCCCTGACTGACCACAGTTTCCCATCAGTACACTAAGGACTGTTCTCCTTTTGACTTTTACACATGGCCATTTGATTGAAGCACATGCATTGTTTGTGCCACGTAAGGTGCTGGCACATGCTGTAGATGTAACATTGATATAGCTGATGTTGCGAGTTGGCTTGAAAGAAGGAATGATGATGTGGTGAGGCTGGTAGTTTGACAATGCCAACTTGCTTGGATGAAGGATTGGATAGAACAGTATCTCTGGAACGTGCAGAGATGTTGTGGTGGAGACAGAGTTGAATGAAGGCATGAAGAAGCAAGTGGTAAGCTGCTGTCACTAGGAAACCGCTCAGACTATCATGTCAGGAATCAGAACCATTCTAGGAGAATTGGTAGCTGCATAAAAATGAGGTGTATTTAGCTAATAATGATATGCAAGCATGGAGATAAGGTAACTGCCACTAATTAGCGAGATTCTGAAGAAAACATCGAGACTTTAAGGAATAAGTGCAAATTTTGTTTGTGTCAAGAGTGTGATCTTTCCATTTGCACCATGTTTTCCAACTTTCTGCTATTGCCAACGCTGCTGGAGGAAGTGGAAAATTCCATTCATATAAACAAATTGTAAATGTTTCTATAGATACTTAAATAAGAAGAGAAGAGGAAAGGAAACAGAAGCAGTTAGCCTTACATCAGTGGAAGGCAAAATGCTAGAATCAATGACTAGGAATATGGTAAAAGGGAACTTAGCAAATTAAGAGTCAACACAGAATAATAAAAGGGAAGGAGTGTTTGACAAATCTGTTGCATGTCTTTTGAGGCCTTAAGTAATAGGACAGATTAGAGGAAACCAGTGGACGTGGTGTATTTGCACTTTCAGAAGTATCCAAGAATTGAGATTAATATATAGCATGAGTTTAGAATCAGTTATTAGTCAGAAAAGAGTAGGCATAAGCAAGATTGGTTTTAGTTGGCAGGTTGCAATTAGCAGGGATTCCCAACGATCAGTGCTCGAGTCTCAGTTATCTACAATGTACGTTAATACCCTAGACGAAAGGATTGAGTGTAACGAATCCAACTGTACAACATGAGGTGGGTGAATAACCAGTGGTGTAGACGCAGATGTTGCAGAAGGACATGGACATGTTGGATGAATTGACAACATGGCAGTTAGAATACGGCATATTGAAGTGTGAAGTTATTTTAGTAGGTAACATTTTAAACAAAAACAGAATACATTCGAATGGTGAAAAAGTGAGAAGTGTTTGCATTCAAAGGAAATTGTACCTTGTACATGAATCACAACGTTAACTTTTGGGTGCAGCAAGGAATTTGGAATGCAAACAACATATTCATGTCTGTTTCGTGGGGACTAGAATACAAAAGTAATGATGTCTTACGACAGTTATACAGGATAAAAGGTGAGGCTGCCTCAGGAGTACAGAGTGCAGCTCTGCAGTTCTCTGCTAATAAGTAACGGGCCATTTGGTCCGTCATTTGTGTGCTAGATCTCTGATAGAGTAAGTCAGCTGTTCTCATGCCCCTGACCTTGCCTTTTCCTTGTGGTCCTGCAAACTTGCAATCTTATTATTCAATTCCCTTCAAAATCCTTGATTGCATCTGCCTCCAAAACAAATTCAGACAATCCATTCTGGATCAGAGCTACTCACTTGTGAAATTTATTCCTTATAGGACCCAGAACACAACTTAATATAAACGGATTGTAACTTTTGTAAATTGTAACTCATTGTAAATTTCTAATCTAACTAACACATCATATATTAGATCATTGTCTCAAAAAAGGGGGTTAGTCATTTAGGACTGACATGTTCTCTAAGTATTCTTAGATGCTTTAAGGGTTGAATCTCTGAAATTCTTGAGAGATCTATATTTGAGTGATTGTTAAGTATATTCAGTACAGAAGTTGGTAGACTTTTAGGTAGCAAGGAATTAAAGTATACAGGGATACTGCCTTCACCACAGACTCAGCCAGATAGGATCTCAGTCAACACTAATACTGGTTAAGTCAGATCCCAGAATGAAACCCGACTTGAGGCACCATAAGTTTCTTTTCATAGTTGCTTACCGTGGCTGTTAATCACTGAACATATTCACTGTTCATGGGTGTGTAGGGTTACAGGGGGACGGGTCTGGGTGGGATGCTCTGAGGTTGGGTGTGGACTTGTTGGGCCGAAGGGCCTGTTTCCACACTGTAGGGATTCTATGATTCACACGAGGCTGCTATTAAGGCAAGAATGCAAGTTTATTACGCAAAATAAAACAAAAAGCTACCTTTGTTAGATAATTTGAAAAGGTCTGAACAAACAGCAAAAACAATCCACCCTTTTTTCTAACAATATCCTTTTCATTTTTGGTCCCAGAGAAATATCCCTCCTGTCCTAACTATAATTTCTCACTTAACTAAATCTATCCAATTTTCCTTCTTAGATGCTGAAACAGTTTAGACTTATTTCTAGTTGAGGGAAATGGATTATTTTTCAGTTCTGACAGCCAACAGACTTCTATAAGTTCTTTATATCCTGAAGATTCAACAAACCTAACAAACGGTCTTGCTGCTAGAATGAATCTGCTCTTCTGAACTGAAAAACTTATACTTCTGCTGGCATGAAACCAAAATCTGATTGAGTTTGGTTCAGAACAATCCAAACTGCCAGTGGTTCATTGTTTTTTCTGTAGGTTATAAACTCAGTAGTGTAAACATTATCAATTAATGACACTAAATTCCATAAAGCATACAGACTACAAATAAGATGGCTATGAAATGCTGTAACAATACCAGGTGATGCTTTTTTATATAAACCTGATTCTTGTCTGTATATATCATTTTATTCGACATAAATAATGCTACACAAGACTTTTCTAGAACTAGTGCAATAGCACCACATCATGAAACAGACACATAAATATATTTAGAATTAGTGGGAATGTAAAGTACTTTGGTAAATTTAGTGTCATTAATTGATACTGTTTACACTACTGAGTTTATAACCTACAATGTTTTTTAATATTCCTTATTTCTAACCCTCAGTGTTATAGTTTTACAGGAAACAGGTGTTCTCCAGGCCTCGGGAACTAGAAAATAAATGATGATGTTAAGGAAATGAATTGGCATGGAGCATGACTGCCAGGGAACAGTAAGTTTTTGTGCCAATCATGTTGGTGTTTTCGATCAGTACTAGCTGAATTTGTATTGCTCTCAGCTGCTGACAATGTTACCTGGCAAGTTAAGCACAGCTCAGCAGAGGCAAAATGAAAGATTTAAATCTGATAAATGAACATGAATAAATAAGAATGTACAAAAGCAAATGATTAAACAAAGAGAGAACACTGGAGAGAGATTTTAAAAGTGGGCAAAGCATAGTTCAAAAGTGCAAACTGTTCCACTCCCGAAGGAACCATATATAGTTTCTAGGGAACAAGGATCCTTCTATGATTTACCTAATTAGTCATTCTACAATTGTGACCTGAGTAATAGTAAGTTATAACTATTCCTGGTGTATAACATGCGCACTGTTATCTAAACTAGCAAGAGAATCATAATAACTGCTCAAAATGGTTGCATTGGATTTTCAAGGAATCCCAATGCTCATTCTTAACATTAAAAACACCTGTACAATTGCAAAATAAAAGACTTTTTATAACTTCTGGTCTACATCTGATTTTGTTTGGAGTTAGAAATGGGAATCTCTGCTGATATGGAAGTAGCAATGACAGTACAATCCATTGCATTTGTTACTCCATAACTCAGCAATATTAAAAAATTCTTCCTCAACAATTAAGCTTTCCCCTCTCTCTAAACACCATGGTATATACTCAAGAATGGTTACCGACATCTCGTGTGTAAACCTGGATAGACTGTCTATGAGGCAAGAAGACTGATTTTGATTCATTCCTCCTTTAATTGCAACATGCATGTTGACTTTCAATGGGGCACTGTGCAGCTGGATCAGGATTTTTGTTTTGTTTTAAAGAGTGACACATTTATATTTGCTCCCTCAACCAAGGCTGAAGTCAGATGTGGTGACTTAACCACTGCCTTAGCAGAGATCAGATAAGTCACCACAAAGCAGCAATATAACTTTAATCCGGTGACTGACCATCAGATTCATATATTCAAAAACTAAGAATAACGATTCTTGAAAAGCACTTAAGAATTGGAGTTGCACAGTACAGAAACAGACCTTTCGATCCAACTCTTCCGCACCAACCAGATATCTGAAACAATCCAGTTCCATTTGCCAGCATTTGGACTATAAACCTCTAAACCCTTCCTATTTATGTACCAATCCAGATGCTTTTTAAATGTTGTTATTGTATCTGCCTCCACCACCTGCTCATTCTACACATGCACCACCCTCTGTGTGAAAAAATTGCCCTTCAGGTCCCTCTTAAATCTTACCCCTCTCAGCTTAAACCTATGCCCTCTATTAATGAATCTGATAGGTTTTCATGGTAAGCCTACATTTTCATGGTTGCCATTGCTGACGCAAGATTCCAGATTTATTTAAGTCATTCAATTTAAATTCAACAACTGGATAGAAAATAAGTTGAATAGAATAGAAGTTGAACACACATCTCCAGATTATCAGTTCAATAGCATAACCACAATGCCAGTGTCCCCTTAATTGCTGCAACAGACACATTGTGGTCAGCTACAAGGTAATTATATTCTCAATATCAAGTAAATTGCAGGTTTGAAAACCTTTGCTTAGTATGAAGTTCACTGCAACTGGTAAATTGATTGAATAACATTATTCACAAGTTTTTTTTCTGGACGGCACTGCAACAATAAATGTTAAAACACTTACTAATAAACAAGATTTTGAAAAACGGCCAAAAATATATAAATTTAAAATACATGATTCAAATTCAAGACTTCCTACAATTCATTTTCTGAATTCACCCTAAAACATTCCAGCCATATGGATTGCTTAAAGTTCATTTTCCAACAGAAGTCCAGACACAAGAAGAATGTATTTGTCCTAGTTGCTACAATTTAATGCACCTGATGCAACAAGGTAGTTATTAAAATAATTTCTTGCCATCTAGTACCGAATTTGGGGGATGGAGCCAAGCTCAGCCTACTACTTTATGACTTTAGATTTTATTTTTGATGTGCAATCTGCTCTTAAATATAACAGTTTGTGATTTGAAGAAATATACATCCAAATATATGCATGTCATTTTAAAACAAAAACATTCCCGTTATGAAAGGTCATTACCTTTAGCAATATCAGTTGCCCAAGTCATGATTTGACCCATGTCCATTTCCTCACTTTTAGCACTGGACAGATAATCATACAGTGACCCTCCAGGAGCATATTCTAATGAAAGATAAAGAAAAACTATAAAATATTACTTTGTAAAGAATAGATAAAAATAATGCAACTGTACTTTTAAGTATAATAACCAATAATATTAGATTAATATTATAATATATAATATAAGAATCTATAATAACAGTTTCCCATTGCAGAAAAAAGAAGTGATAATAGTTCACAAGTTAGGGGCCCAATTATTCTGATGTTCAGATAAGGGTTGGAGCAGCATAGACTGGAGATGCATGTCTGGACCATACAGCACTTCCCTAATCACTTACCTGGAACCCTAACCCTATAAACAAATGCACCCTAACCTCACACTAACCTTACAAACTTACCCTTTCACAGCAGCTGTCAAAAGGTCTACCCGTGTTTCTGGACATGTAAAATCACAGAATGTGGCGCAATGACTGCTGGAAAGAGACAGTATTGTTTGACTTCCTCTGACTAACCAGCACTAAGAGGGAATTGTATGATATCAGGTTCGCTCTGCATTTCTGAGGAAGCCAGAATCAGAATTCCCGACTAGAAATGCAGAGCTCAGTCCTAATGGAAAAAGATAGGAGTGGAGTGGTAAACTGCGATTGTCACTTCTCAGAATATCTGTGCTGTTGTTTCTTCTCATGAATGACATATTTCATGAAAATAACAGAAAAGTAATAAAGTATGTTAATGGTTGAATAATATTACCTTTAAGAGGTCATTGTGACAGAATGCCAGAAATGCAGGTTATTCACAATAGATCAAATATAACCTCTTATCACAGTGAGGAGCAGGAGTAACACAGCAAGTCAGGCAGCATCAGAGGAGTAAATGTCAACTTTCCTACTCCTCTGATGCTGTCTGAACTGCTGTGTTCCTCCAGCTCCACACTATGGCTCTGATGCCAGCATCTGCAGTTCTTGCTATCTCCTAATATAAACTCTTCTTTCTTTTACAGTTCAGTGACAGCAGACTTTTGGGATAGGACTTATGCATGGATTATATAATCGACTCAGCAGCTTCCCTCACTTTGCTCCCTTTCCTCAGCCCACCTGGCCAATCGTCCTAGGACCTTCACCTCCACACTAACTCTGAACTAAGCTTTCTGCAGCATCCGGCCTATCTCCAAGTTTACCTTGTCCAGGAGACGCATCTCCTACTCACCCAACCTTATTTCCACCAAAACTGCTGACCATCCAATATCCCTCCTGGTTCCCATAACAGCTGACAATGTTGATGGTTTTCTCGCCCTAGGTACTGTCCTCTTTCAAACCTGCTGTCATTACCCCTTTCCACAAAAGGAAACTCTTGACTCCACCGTCATTACAAATTAGGCCACCTTGAACCTTTCTTTCCTCTTCGAAACCATTTCCTCCTGAATCCATGGCCCATCTTTCCAGAGTTTCCATCCCTATCATTGTACTGAAAAGCTTCTTAAATTGATCTTAATCTCTATTCAACTGTGACAAAGGTAAACTAATTCTATATGACTTTTTCCACCTACCTGCTGCCTTTGACAAAGTTGGTCACAGTATTCTCTTCCAATGCCTCTCCACTGTCATTTAACGGAGTGTCACTACACTGGCCCAGTTAGGAAATCATCAGCAATGTCTTTTCTTCCCTCTCCCATACCATTAACATCGCTGCAACTCAAATAAGCAACCATTGCTTTTCGTTTATTTCCCATCTGCTGCTCAACAAACTTTGGTCAAAAAAACCAAGTTTCCACATGTACGCTGATGTTCAGCCCTACCTCACAACCAACTCTCTCAAACTCTCCCATCAACCCACTTGATTTTTAATTGGCAATACACTTGTTTGAGATCCAATATCAGATGAGCAGAAATTTCCTGCAACTAAGTGCAGGGAAACCTTCAGTTTCTAGCACAAACTCTGTTTGATTCAGCCTCAAAAGAACAAACAGTTCACAACCCTGATGTTGTACTCAATCTAGAGAGGAGGCTCTGGCCACAGATCCACCATATTACAAAGACAACCTATTCCCAACTACATAACATCACCTGTTATTGAAAACCTCATTCATGCCTTCTGTTACTTCCAAGCATGACTATTCTGCGTTCTCCTGGCCCACCTGCTAAATTCTACCATTCATACACTTGAGGCCATCCAAAACTCTGATGTCCATTCGAACTAACATCATCTCCTTATCCAATGACCTACGTTCATCCCTGATTATGCAACATTTCAACTGTAAAATTCACATTCTATTACTTCTATAATCCTCAAACACCAACGTTTTTCAGATATCAGCACTCATCTAATTCTGTCACCTTGAGCATTCCTGATTATAATCACTCCATCATTGGTGTTGTGCGTTCAGCTGCCTGGTCCTCAAGGCCTCAGTGTCCTTCCCTCAAATCTTCAGCTTCTATTTTCTTCTTGAAGACACTTCTTAAAACCTACCTGTTTGATCAAGCTTTTGTTTGTTAGCTCTAATTTTCCTTTGTGATTTACTGGACTGTTTCTGTTTTATAATGCTCCTGGGAAACAGCTTGGGTGTTTTATTTTAGGAGGTTTGGAAGTGGAAGGCAGGTGGCAGAATGCTGTTTCCCTAATTTCACTTAAAAATATCTTTACTTAGTATTTGTTTCCAATGTTTCAACAACATTTCCATTATCAAAAACATGAGAGCCCTCAGGAACCTTCAACAATCTGATAGCTGAAAACTTGGAGGTCAAGTGTGGCCAATGCAGGGCTTCAGGAAAGCATGTAATTAACTGAGGAATGTACAGGGAAATGGCAGAAACACAGAACATCAACGTAACCATAAAAATCAGTGCCAGGGAAAGCAAAAACAGAAGCGATCTGACAGGGCTGGAAAGGTAATAGCCTAAACCATAATCTCCCTTTCTTCATTTTCCACACTGCCTACTACACACTCCAAACTCTCAAAACAGGACTCTCACACTGGGCACTTCAAACTGGCTCAACATCGTTACTACAATACAATCCTACAGAATCAATGCCTACATAGCATCCTAATCTTACAGCATTTAAATAAGGAACTTTCAAACATGCTACACCAATTTGGTGACCTTATACCTGGCTCTGTTACACACCACCTTTACATCAACACTTTTAACAGACTGAAACTATAAGCCTGGCCACCATCTTTCATTGCTTGTTCTCTTTTGCCATTGCAAAACAAACTGGCAGGCAACCACAAGCAAAGGAACAGTGTTGGATGGTGGGGAGTTGGATCCCAGTGCCAATAATCTTGATCGTTCTTTAGGAAAAACTGATGAAAACCAAAAGAACCATGGATGCTGTAAATCAGAAACAAAAACAAAGTTGCTGGAAAAACTGATGGCCTGACTTGTCACTTTGGCTACAGAGGAAAAGCTCTCCATTGGTTGAAATCATACAAACATAAATGTAGACGGTTACGGCTGTTCAAGGTCTACCTTGATATTTTCTAATGATGTTACACATCACTGGAACAGAGGAGACTTGAACTCAGACCTCCTGGATGAGAGGTAGGGACACTATCACTGTGCCACAATAGCCCTTCTGGGGAGATGGAATATTTTATAATCAACCTGTACAGAGATGTTATTACACATCTCTGGAGCAGGTGGGACTTGAACCTGCATGCATTCCCCTGCTTTATTATCCTTTATTGATATTCACTTGCTATGAGTACAAGGAATAATCTGGGAAGAGCTACCTTTAAAAAGGTCCTGCTTACTAGTTTCTTTCCCAGATTCCTGAGTTTGACCCATAGGTCTAGATCCCTCTAACTACTTAGTTGGTGTTAATATGAACAATTCACAGCATTTCAGTTAGCTTCCCCATGTGTAAAAGTGACACCAGCACAGAAGTAACTTATTGGTGAGTAGCTAATAGGATCAAACTCCACCACCAACCGCACCCCGCCCCCCACCACCCCCACCATCTAACACCGTACCTTTGCCAGTTTGTTTACCTTCCCAACTCAGTGACCTACAGGAAGTCAATGCCCTGCTTGATCCTGGCATTAGACATAAGCTATCAGAGCAGAATTAAGGCATTCAGCCCATCAAGTCTGCTCCACCCTTTGATTTTGAGTGAGGCAACACAGCATCCTGGATTCACATGCGATCACAAACACCTTTCTGCAGCCAACTACAGAATCCCATCATTATTACTTTTTCAGTCTCCTTTCTGCCCACCCCTCCCCACCACCAGCCCCGTATAGCTGAGCTTAGGTTACTAAATCCAGAATCACCAGCTCCTCACCAATAATCTACTCCTGTACCAAAGTCACTCTTACAAATGAGCAGGCTAATTGAAATTTTTTTCTTAAATAATGAAATGTTAAAATCCTTAGATTGTAACTCCCTGAAAATACAAACCTATTTAGTTTAATTATCGCTTCACACTTAATTTTAAAAACTTTATCACCTAGATACGATGAATTAACTAATCAGATTTTAATTGTGATAAATGATGGAATCAGTGTTAGTTTTTATGCTGATGAATCACTTATCTAATTTATGGATCAATACAGAATCATAGAATCCCTAGTGTGGAAGCAGACCATGCAGCTCAGAGATCACACCAACACTCCGAATAGCATCCCAACCAGACCCACCCCCTAACCTATCCCTGTAACCCTGCATTTCCCATAGCCAATTCACCTAGCCTGCACATCCACAGACATTGGGTAATTTAGCATGGCCAATCCACCTAACCGGAACATCTTTGGACTGCGGGAGGAAACCCACGCAGACACAGGAAAAAGTGCAAACTCCATGCAGACAGTTGCCCAAGGCGAGAATTGAACACAGGTTCGTAGCCTGTGAGGGAACAGTGCTAACCACTGAGCCCAATATAGTTGATTAATTTAGGTTCAATTAAGTTTACTAGTACATTCAACCCAGCTGCTTTCTATTTCTCCACTCTCGATGGAGATATAACTTTGACATCACGGTTTGCCTTTCCTAGCCTCTACTCTCTTGGCGCACTGCTCTGCTTCTGCTCCTGTATATCCAGTTTCTAAATTCTTGACTCCCTACGAG